AACTAGAAAGTTTTCATTTCCTCCCTGTTCCCCATTCATTAACAATCTTTAACAAGGCCATGGAAATTATACTTTGTAGAATTCGGAAAGCATTTAGAGATTACAGAAGAGTGAAATCGATACTGATTTGTGAATCGGCAAGGAGTTCTCTAAAAATATAATTTTTTTGAGAGAGTCTTACTATTCTAAAGTTTCGTAATGAAACACTGATTATTGGAATTCAAATTGTTTCTGAAATGTGGTTCTTTTACTGTCTCAGAATGGGAGATAATACTTATTTAAAAACGCCTTGAGGGAAGAAGGGCAGGAAGTCATGAAAGAAAGCATAGTTGAGACACTTCTGCAGGCTGAGTCAGGACAGCCAGGCTTGTGCACTCTCTGCTAATGAGTGGGGAGGGGGTGGGGAGAAAGGCGGAGCCTGAATGTGAATAAACTGCTTCAGGGGAGAAAACAAAGGCTTTGGCTCTTGGACACTCTGACAGGCTTACAGCTCTAGATAGTACTTGGCTCTTTAATTAGGGAGGGTAAATCTTTATAAACTTGCTAGATGAAGATAAGAGAAGACAACAGTGCAGTTTACTTTGCAAAGAGGAAGAAATCACAATCAGTTCTTATTCACTGTGCTGCCAATATTAGCCACAAAATCGTAGACTTGGTCAGCTTCAAGGCCTGGAATTAACTTTAAATCCAAATTCAGATTATAAGTGTAAGATGGAATGAATACTTTTCGGGGTAACTGCAACCTTCACAAACTTGGACAGATAGAGGTTCTGGTTTGGTATTGGAAGGGAGTCAGGCAGCATCACTTGTCACTTGGCAGGGAAGCAAGGCAGGCAGGGTGGTGAGAAAGCTTGACAGAGACCAAGATGACCTTAAGGCTATCCTCAGCTTGACTAAACAGGCCAAGTCTCTGACTGCTTCTCCCCCTCCCTTTTCTTAGAGCTGTTTCTTTAGAAACATGCAATTGCAAATTCATTCTTTGCCTTATTGACATGTAAATCTCTAAACTTCTTGTCTGTTCCTCATCAGAGGAATGCGTTTCTCCATGGCCTGGGAGCTATCTCTTGGAAATGTATTCATGAAAGACAGGGTCCCTAACATCCAGTCTCAGGGAGATGGTAAGAGCCTACCTTATAAGTATCAATTAACCAACAAGATGGATTAATTGAATTGACCAGCCTCCTCCACAATGTCCTCTAGTACTTTTCCACTAACCTGCCCTAGTACTTAAAAAAAAAACCCACATTTTGTTTCAAGGGCGCTAAGTTCAGTCTCTGTCTCCTATTGCCATAATTGCTTAAATTTATTTATAAAAAGTCTTGAATAAATTCTTCCTTGCCTGTTCAATTCTGTCTGGTATAATTTTTCTTTTACTGTAGTGAAAAAGGAAGGATTCATATGTGCTCTGATGGGAAGCTGATAGCATGGAGAAGCTGGTGGTGGACTAGCAAGAGAAGCTTTTTATGTGATCTACCTTGGCATGGGTACTACCCAGTGGTCACTGAGGCTTTTTGGGTGCATAAGCCGAATCTTAAGGCTGGTTTGTTGGACAATGTGCCCCAGACCCCAAACCCTGAGTGTTAAAGCTGATTCTATAGCCACTGGATTATCCTTAGTCAAATGTCCATCTTTCAAAATAATTCTTGTGACTTTGAGGTTATTTTGGAGTTTTGTTTTGTTTTTAAAGATTTTTATCTTATTTATTATTTTAGAGAGAGAGGGCGAAATGAGCAGGGAGAGGGGCAGAGGCTGAAAATCTCCAGCAGACTCCCTGCAGAGTGCAGAGCTCAAGACCCTGAGATCATGACCTGAGCTGAAAGCAAGAGTCTGTTGCTCAGCCAACAGAGCCACTGAGGAACCCCAACTTTGAGGTAATTTTGAAAGGTGTCTAGGTCTGTGGAAATATGGATATAATTAAATTCCCAAATTCAACTTACATGGGAGAAGCATTGGAGGGTACAATGGGCACGAAATAATTTTTACTAAACCAAGAGAACTTTCAGGGAGGACACCATTACATAGTCAACTTCGGTGGAGATTGATTGTCTCAGACAGCTGGTCTCCATGTCTCAGAGAAAAGCCTGAGTGATGCCTGTGGACTTCCCATGCCAGCCTCAATATTAATCCAGTTCCCTGGGTTTATAAGGTTCCAGCTACTCAGTCCTTCTTTTTTCTTTTCTTTCTTTCTTTTTTTTTTTTTAAATTAAAGTATAATTAGCATACAATATGACATCAGGTTATACAGTCTTTCTATCCCCATATAACTGAGTGGGAAAATGTGCAAATGTTTAAGTGAAATAAGTCTATGATCAAAATGTTGGAGTGGAAGAAAGGAGATTCTGTGACCTGTATTGAATGGCATGCCAAGGACTAGGCAATGGTCAGGGTTTGTCCCAGGAGCAAAACATAAGCCATGTGTCATCTTTGGAGATCGTAAACTGTGATAAAGCTGGACTAAAAGTCTGCTTTTATCAACAAGTACTCCTTTCTGAAAAAAATCTCTTGTTGATCTAAATACTTTTGTTTTTTTGGTTGATTTAAATTCTTAAAACTTCCTGATTACTGTTCGAATTTTAATAGTAGAGATGTAAGCTTGAAAGTAACACGTTAAATTTTTTCTTTTCCTTTTTTTTAAATGAGGAAGATAATTTTATTTTTATTTTTTGAATTTTGGGGTTGGGGGTGGTAGAGGCAGAGGGAGAGTGAGAAAGAGAAACCCAAGCAGGTTTCAAACCCAGTGTGGAGTCCAAAAGGCGACTTGATAGATCTCACAACACTGAGATCATGACCTGAGCCCGAACGAAGAGTTGGATGCTCAACCAGCCTAGCCACCCAGGCGCCCTATAGGGAAGATAATTTAAAAATCTCTTCCATAAGGGTGCCTCGGTGGCCCAGTGGGTTGGAGCCCCTGCCTTCGGCTCGGGTCATGATCCCAGGGTTCTGGGATCGAGCCCCGCATCGGGCTCTCTGCTCAGCGGGGAGCCTGCTTCCTCCTCTATCTCTGCCTTCTTCTCTGCCTACTTGTGATCTCTGTCTGTCAAATAAATAAAATCTTTAAAAAAAAAATCTCTTCCATATTTTCCCTCTAATATCTCTCTTACACACATGCGGGATCAACTACATCTGTTCATTTTGAGAGTAAATTCCTAAGGGTTCAGAATCTCCTGAACTCACTCAGAGTGCACTTTGTATTTCCAACCTGTATATATTCTTGCATTTCAAGATTCAGTATAAACATTAATACAGCCATTACATAGGATCACATACAGCAATTGATTAGGAAAATGACATT